TTTCCCGCAACACAGCACCTTGTTTCATTTCCCGCAACACAGCACCTTGTTTCATTTCCCGCAACACTGCAACTTGTTTCCTTTCCTGCAACTCAGCACCTCATTTTCCGCAGCACAGCACCTTGTTTCCTTTCCCACAACACAGCAACTTGTTTCCTTTCCAGCAAAACAGCACCTTGTTTCCTTTCCTGCATCTCAGCACCTCTTTTACCGCAACACAGCACCTTGTTTCCCGCAACACAGCACCTAGTTTCCTTTCCCACAACACAGCACCTAGTTTCATTTCCCGCAACACAGCAACTTGTTTCCTTTCCTGCATCTCAGCACCTCGTTTCCCGCAACACAGCACCTTGTTTCCAGCAACACAGCATACTGTTCCTATAGTACAATAAATATTAAAGGTATTGTAAATAAATTGTACAAATTTAAATTGCAGATTAATTTCATACGAATTTAATAAAACAGCATAACATTAATCAAAGTATCATTTTGAATATTCTGATTACAAAAACAACATTAATGGTTAAAGACAAACTATAGTCAAGCTCTCCTGTCATCACAACAGAACTGTATTCTGAGCATCAGTGCGAGACGACAATCAGAAAAACAGCTCATGCAAGTGTCACTCCAGCGCAAGTGCATGAAAGCCCAGACAGGACCCCGAATTGACAACAAAAGGAAAAACTGGCTTATTCACTTAGTTATTGATCAGACTCATTCACAGCGGTTGAGTCATGACCATCTCTCTGTTCTCATACTCGGATTCCCTCGGCAACAGAGCCTCTTTCCTGGCTCTGACACTCTTACAGGTAACGGCACATCTGACGTGGACGACTGCACCCGTTTGCTGGAGTCACATTCACCTTTTGCTCTCGGAGCGATATCGCAGAGAAGCAGGTGTCCGTCCATATGTTCAGATACTTTTGCAAGAATACCAGGGCCAGGCTGATCAGGAACACTGGCCTCGTTTGCCGGAGGATCGATGGGATTCATTGATCTGCGATGCGATGTACAGTATTGATCTGTGACTGCCGCTCTAGCCCTCTTCGAGAGGGGCGAGATGAGAAGCGACATGAGAAAAAGTACAGGCAAATTACCAGTGATTCCATGGTTAGCGCCTTTACCAGGCTGCTACCACAGTTACCCCTGTGTTTTGCTTTACCCAGGGAAAGTGCTGTGTGCGTCAGGGCAGCGTTTGAAGCCTGATGGCAGGACACAAGGAAAAATCATGTAATCATTGTTTTAGAGCGTGAAAGAGTGGCAGCCTCTTGTTTCTGCTGACTGGATATCTGGCCACCTGGACACCTCTTTCTAAGCGAATGCCGGAGCGAAAGAGAGTCCGTTTCTAACACCCCCAGCTACAGGGGACCATGTGACCACCTCTTCCGGGAAGACTCTTTGGGATGCATTCCTCGCACTCGAAACCGCAGTGCTTGAAACCCCTTTCAACCACGGAATAATACATCAGGCGGGGAAAACGACTGCCCCCCTCCCCCCGATCTGTGTGGGATCAAAGATTTATTCCGATGCCACTATCCCACAAGGGCCTTCGTTCCAGGAGAAATCGCGTGCCGTGGCTTCCTTAAAGCAGCACAGCTCTCCATGCTCCGCTCGGATAATAAGAGCCAGTTTGCCCCTGTTTCACTGTCAGACACCCGGCCCACCCTTCTCCTCTCCCGGGAAGAACGGCCACGTGTTCCTGCCGCGCTCCTGCTTCCAGCACTGGGGGGGGCGTGCAAGCCTCAACCCAGGAGAGATTGCAAGCACCCCCTTTGGCTCGGCCCGGCTCTGGAAAAACCCCTCTGATCCGTCCCCCCCCCCAGGGCAGAACCAGGATCCGATCTCTCCTCCACGCTGAAGAGAGTCCGTGCTTGTCTGCTCACCTTCCACCTGTCCCGCAGTAAATTCCTGAGTGCGCTGCACTGTAATTAGCTCCCAGACTGTCTAGGTAACGCGTGGCTGTGCTGTGCGAGCATGCTGGGGAGATCAGAGGACGGTTCTGTCATGTGGACCTCCTGCCCCCATGCCAAACAGTACTGAGGTATGATACGCCAGGGTAACACTGTGGGGAAAGCACCGGGGTGGACCGATTCCTTGTGACTGGCAGGTTCTTGCAGATCCACACACATCAAGCCCTGCAGCCTCTGAGCAATCAGCAACACAGCAGAGGTGGGCAGTTCTAAAGAAGAAGGAGCGAAGCAGCCGAGACGGGGGTCCCCAGTCTTGGCCCCGGAGGGCTGCAGCACCCGCAGGGTCTCTTCCAAGGAGCAGCAGCTGGAGAGCTGGGAGACGCTGTCAAAACTTGTCCAGTTAAGCCAGTAAAGAGCTCAGCTGTATAGAAAACCTACTGACTGACCGACTGTCCTGGGAGGAGGTCCAGTCTTGGTCCTGGGGGGTCAGTGCGTCTGCAGGGTGTCCAGTCCTGGTCCTGAGGGGGTCAGTGCGTCTGCAGGGTGTCCAGTCCTGGTCCTGGGGGGGTCAGTGTATCAGCAGGTTGTCCAGTCCTGGTCCTGAGGGGGTCAGTGTGTCTGCAGGTTTTCATTCCAACTAATTTCTTAATGAGCTCAATCAGCTCATTATTGGCTTAACGGGACCAATTTAACATCCCCTCCCAGGTCTTCAGGTCCTGCTGCTTGGAAGAGACCTGGAAAACCTCCAGACTCACTGAGCGGCCTGCTCCATCTGAACCACCAGCATGACCGAGACCCAGTCCAGCAGGGGTTCAGGACAGGCTTGCATCGCTCAGTGGGGTCCCCTCCCAAAGACGTAAGCAGGGGAAAACCCACAGTTGGGCAGCGGGCTCCAGACCCCTACTACTCTTTGTGTAAGGAAGCGACTACTGTTCTCATTCTGAAGCAAACCTCCCACTTCAAGCCTGAAACCTATCTGCTGCTTCCATAAACTGGCTTCAAAGTTAGGAGCCGAAGAGCCCTTCAGGGCGAAGACCAACTTGAGCTGCTTGAACAAAAGCCCACATGACACGGCTGCTTTTCCCAGAGCGAAACTCGGACATGCCTGAACTACCTGGCTCTGGAGCGGAACGAGCCGGCCATCTCCCCGCACTCCATTCGCCCGCATGACTCGGCAAGTTATCCTCCACACAAGCAAAAAAAACTGCATTCTTGTATGCTTTTTTCAGTCATTCAACTGCCACATGTCTCCAAGCAGCACATTCATGGGCAGTGCTCAGTCGGGCAGGCGTGTTGTTGCAAGCCCCTCCCGTTCCTGTCCACCAATCCACAGAACGCACTTTCCAGGCACATCAAGAAGCCGTGAAGATGGAAAACACCAGGAGAGTTACAACAGACAGGCTATTAGGCCCACCTAGATCTACAGTCTGCTGAGCCCTCTCCTGAAGACCCACCTGAGCACACTGACATCTGTGGATCTACAATAGGCTGATCCTCTCTCATTTGACCCACCTGATCATATTGACACCTGGGGATCTACAGCCTGCTGATCCTCTCCCCATGACCCAC